AGGAATGATTTCCTCTCGGCCCTTCTCTCTCTAGGCCGAAGACCCGCCATGCCCAGCGGCCCGCGAGGAAGAGGAGGAGGTGGTCCGTGTGCTGACTTTGCCTCTCCAGGCTCATCATGCCATGGAGAAGATGGAAGAGTTTGTGTATAAGGTACAGGAGCACGTAACAACCCCCCAGTCCTGCTTTTGGAGCGTTACTGAGGCCCGGATGCCCCAAGCCCAGGGTGTGAGGTGGTGGGAAGGGGCTGGGACACGTCCCTCTGCCTGGGTAGAGCTCCCGGGGTTCCGTGCAGCCCTGCCGGGAGGTTGCTCCGGGCCCCCCCCCTTTTCTCCCAGCAGCGTCGCCCGGGAGCGGTGTGGGAAGGGGATTCTGGCTGCTGGGAGGTGCCAGTGGGTGTTGGAGGTTGTGTCCAGCTGTGCTGGATGAGCAGTGACCTGGGGAGCAGTCCCGGTGTCTTTGCGTTCCTCTAATGGGACTGGGAGCACCAGGAACCGTTGCTGGTTTCACCCAGTGCCTGTCCTGGCATTTACTGCAGGCCAGTCCATGGTGGCACCGGCTGAGGGTCCTGCTGCCACCCAGGGCTCCCTCTTCCCTGACTAAAGTGGGGGTTCCTCGCTGCAGGGAACAGTTCCTTCGGGCGCAGAAGGGTTAAACCCGGGGATGCAAATCGCCTCTGACTCCAGGGGGACGTGTGGGGAGCGCTCTGCAGGATGTGGGTGGCTTAAGGGATCCCGCAGGGCGCCCGATGTTGCAAAAGCTGAACTTCCTCTCCCCGAGGAGTGTTCCAGGGCGTTTCCAGCCCCGGCCGGGCTTGTTCCACGCGTGACTTTGGGCTCCCGGGGTGCCTAAACGTGAGCCTTCGGGCTGGCTCCACTCTTGGGGGGCCACCAGCGCAGCTTGGCGTGTTGCAGGTGTGGGAAGGGCGCTGGCGCGTGATCCCTTACGACGTGCTGCCCGACTGGCTGAAGGACAACGATTACCTCCTGCACGGGCACAGGCCCCCCATGCCATCCTTCCGGGCCTGCTTCAGGAGCATCTTCCGAATACACACCGAGACGGGCAACATCTGGACGCACTTGCTAGGTGACCAAGGGGGTTTGGTAGCCCTGGGGTGAAAGTGGGCTTGGTCCCCGTGGCCAAAAGTGGCCTTTTACGACCAGGACTTGCTTGGTGCTGGGGTCCTCTCTGTGCCCGCGGCCTCCCTTTGGGAATCGCATCCCCTTGCCTGGTCCTGCGCACGCAGGCAGCTGGGGCACGAGGTGCCCGAGAGCTCCCAGGGCGAAGGGCACTTCCAGGGCATTTCCTCACCGCGGGGCCCCAGGGCTGGGCTCGGTGACGGTTTGTGGCTTTGCCGCCGCTCCGCAGGGTGGGACGGAGGAACGTGTCCTGGGCAAGGCAGGAAAGCCTCGGAGCGCTTTCCTCTGAAACCCAGGGACGGCCCATGGCTCTTCGCCCTGCGCCCGGCCGTGCCCTTGCCCCTGGCTCTGCTTGTCTGACCCACTGCCAGGCCAGCCCCGGGTGCAACCCAGCCCCTCCAAGTGCCCTGCGAGCAGGATACATCCCGAGTTTCTTGCGGAGCGCAGCCAGGGCCGTGTTTCTCCTGGCTCTTTGCTTCACCACCTTCCTCTGCCTGACCACCCGTTTGGCGTGTTCCCTGCAGGCTTCGTTCTGTTCCTCTGCCTGGGGATCCTGACCATGCTGCGGCCCAACATGTATTTCATGGCTCCTCTCCAGGAGAAGGTGGTGTTTGGGATGTTCTTCCTGGGAGCGGTGCTGTGCCTCAGCTTCTCCTGGCTTTTCCACACTGTCTACTGTCACTCGGAGAAGGTCTCGCGGACTTTTTCGAAGTGAGTCAGCACGAGCGCGGTTGCGTGGCCTCACGGGAGGTTTTGAGTTCTCTTGGAAAGCAGAACGATTTCCAAGATCTCAAACATTTTATCCGTGGGGGAAGGGAGTGTTCACCGAATCCAGCGTGGAGCTAGCTGGGTCCTGGAGGGCTCTGCCCTGCGCCCGAGCACCCTAAATCCGCCAGCTCGGGTGCCCTCAGGTGGATGGTAAGGACGGAACCTTTGTGCCCCTCGTGAATCGAGGAGGGGTCTCGCTCTGTGAGATCTCTCAGCAGCAGTTTGGCCGTTTCAGTTTACTGGATGCTTTCAAAAAACTCTGGTTTGGATCCAATCTGGACTGAAACCAAATTGAAAGAAAACCAAACCAAACAGGATTCCCGGCAAAGTGGAAAGGCTGGGCAGTGGCCAGTGCCTCTTCCCGAGGTCGGCGCTCCGGCCGCTCTCAGAGTTAAGCTCCCATTAGCCTCCAGGGCACGGGCACGGCAGCAGCGAGGCTTTCAGACCAGATCTTGCTCACACGAGTCTGCCAAAGGCGTTTACGTGGGTGCTGCTGCCTGGGAAATCCTGCCACCATCTCCTGTGCACCAAGCCCAGAGATCCTACAGGAGCGAACCGTGCCACCGTGCCCTCAGCAGGCACGTCCTTGGGCACCGGGGAAGGCGCTTGCCGCCGCGGCGGTGCGGGTAACGCCAGCGGCTGCGTCCCGGTGCTGAAATGGTTCCTGGATCGATGGATCAAAAGCACTTTGCAGCGGAGGGCGATGGTCAAATCCGTGAGCCTGCCACATCCTGGCATGGCGGTTCGAGTGCACGGTCCCTCTCACATCCAGCCAGCTCCTGCCCACCCGCTGTGCCCCTGCCAAGCCCTGCTGGCATCCCCAGAAGCTGCGTACGTGCCCAGGCCCCTTCTCCTGTCCCAAATGGCACCGATGGCACCGGAGATCCTCCCCTCTCCGGACACCCAGCTTCACCCCCAGTGCCATGGCTGCCAGGCTGGCCACAGTGGCTCCACGCAGGTGCAGCCAGGCTGGAGGGCACCGACAGGCGGGTGGATTTTGGGGCTCACCTGTGACTCTGTCATTGTACCCCGGCTGCAGGTTGGATTATTCCGGAATTGCACTGCTGATCATGGGGAGCTTTGTCCCGTGGCTCTACTATTCGTTTTACTGCTCCCCGCAGCCAAGACTCATCTACCTCTCCATCGTCTGCGTCCTGGGCATCTCTGCCATCATCGTTGCTCAGTGGGACCGGTTTGCCACCCCCAAGCACAGGCAGACAAGAGCAGGTAGGAGCTCTCCGTCCTCCCCCTGAGCCCCCAGCCCTGGGAGGGAGCTCCAGGAAGGCTCTTTGGGAAGATCCGTTTAGGAAGAGCTCTCACCATCTGCAGAATTAACTCCCCCCGAGCACTGCCCAGCAGCAGCTCCCAGAAGGGACGCTCTCCTTCCTCCTGCTGTGCCAGCCCCAAGCACAGGCAGACAAGAGCAGGTAGGAGCTCTCCGTCCTCCCCCTGAGCCCCCAGCCCTGGGAGGGAGCTCCAGGAAGGCTCTTTGGGAAGATCCGTTTAGGAAGAGCTCTCACCATCTGCAGAATTAACTCCCCCCGAGCACTGCCCAGCAGCAGCTCCCAGAAGGGACGCTCTCCTTCCTCCTGCTGTGCCAGGGACGGGGATCCTCGGCTGAGCAGGCCCTGATGTCGGCCTGGCACTCGGCAAGCCTGAGGCTTGGAGCAGGCAGGCAGCGTTTAAAAATAGCCCTGTGGCCTGGGGCTGTGCCGCACGAAGCCGCCTTCTCCGGGAAGCAGTTTGG